TGAAGAATGTTAAAGAGTATCAAATCTTTACATACTGTATTTTTCGCTCCATAAGACGCACCTCTCCATAAGACGCACCACATTTTTAGGAGAAGAAAATAGTAAAAAAATAATCTGTTTTCTTTTCCTAAAATTTGGTGAGCCTTATGGAGAGGTCCATCTTATGGAACACAAACTAGGATCCTTTGGAGGCTCAGCCAGCCCCCCCCCCGAGGCCAGAGGGGGCAAAATCGCCACCTTCAGGGACTCTTCTGAAGTTTCCCAAACCTCAAAAGAGTCCCAGAAGGTGGTGATTTCACCCCCGCTGGCCCCGTGGAGGGGTGGGGGAAGCCTTCCAAGGGTCCTGGAAGGCAGACCCGGACCCTTGGGAGGCTCCCCCCCACCCCCCGCAGGGCCAGAGGGAGTAAAATCACCACGTTTAGGGGCTCTTCTGAAGCTTGCCAAGCCTCAAAACAGTCCCAGAAGGTGGCGATTTCGCCCATGCTGGCCCCGCGGGGGGGGAGCCTCCCAAGGGGCCTGGAAGGCTCACTGGGAGCCTTGGGAGGCTCCCCCCCATGGGGCCAGTGGGGGCAAAATCGCCGCACTTTTGGGGGGGGAAGTGCGTCTTATGGAGCAAAAAATATGATAATTACATAGAACAAGACTTATTTTTCTTTGATACTTTGAGTGAAACATAACATGCCTGTATCCATTTACACTTCTTCCTGCATCAGCCAATTAACTTCACTTGCTCCAAGGATCAAAATGGTCATACTTTTCCTTTCTGTTACTTTACTGTAGATTTTTCTTGCCTCATACATTCTTCGTGGTTCATGAATTCTTAATTTAACTTTCAGCAGAGAGATTGTTAGCACCCTTTGCCTGCTTGAGACCTGTCAGAAACTGAGGCCCCTTTTGTATTTCTAACCGAGTAAGTTTGAAAGGTACTGTGCTTTCCCCAAAATAAGACAGGGTCTTATATTGATTTTTGTCCCCCCCCCAAAAAAAAACGCATTAGGGCTTATTTTCAGGGGATGTTTTATTTTTTTCATCTACAACCATCTACATTTATTCAAATACATGTCATCTTCTGGTTGCTGTACAATGGTGGAGGGCGGGATTTCACTTAATTGGGGCTTATTTCTGGGGTGGGGCCTATATTACGAGCACCCTGAAAAATTATACAAGGACTTATTTTCAGGTTAGATTTTAGTTTCAGAGAAACAGGGTATAATATCGTAGGTTTTCTGTGCCTTTTTATTTCAATGCTATGGCCAGTTGCAGTGGCTACCATATACCTGCAACTTTTGCGTACTGAAGTTTGCCTGGCATCTTTTTCCTTTCACCTCTGGTTCTGGTACTTTGGTTTCTTAAGGCTCCATGGGTCTCTTGGTCAGGCTTCTCCATCTGAAGCTGTTGACTATTCTAGGGGTCAGATATTTAACAGCTAACTCATCATCTGCATGGCTGAGAGGCTGCTATTCACCATAGTTGGTACAGAAGCTGACTCCTCTATGTAGAAGGCCAAGCCCACTTGCTGAGCAGCATCTAGCCAATTACAGATAAACACTGGGCATGCTTTGTTTTAGTCACCTAGAAATGACACACAGCATTGTTAGAACAGTAAAGACATAACTGCAGTTATTACAGTCTTTGTTCCATATTCACACTGAGTGATGCATCATACAAATACAGTATGTGTTAAAAGAGTTTGGAGTGTAATTGTACATATACATATTATAAAAGTGGTAGGGATGTATGCTTTTGTACATGAAGAAAAAGTAATGGTGTGATTTGGCAATTACATATGACATAATTACATATGAAAATTATTTAATTTTAGATATACAATATAGCTAGGTCTTTTGAGAAACATTTCAGAAGTATACCACTTCCATCTTTGGTGTGTACTAGTACAAGTATATAAAGCCATTACATCAAAGTTTGTCTATGGATTCCTGTATATGAGGAAGATTCTTTTGTTTCCTGTGAAATAAGCAGTTGAATTTAAAAAGCTTTGTTTCTTCCTACCATAGAACAAGAGGAATATATGTATATACATACATTCAGTCTATGGAACAATATATTAATCTAATCCACCCACCAGCACATCTTTTTTTTATTTAGGGTGGAGCAGAATAAAGGAAGGAGAGGAAGGGGGGCTGATTTTTCTCTTACATACATATACACATATTAGAAGCTTTATATGCTGAAGATGGCAGTTGAAAAAGAAGTGATAAAAAATACCATGTTTTAGCAGTTGGTTTCACTAAATAAAACTGGCCATCATTTTGTGGCTTCTGCATCTATGCACTGCTATCATTGAATGCCCTTTCTTCTTCCTGCTACAGGCATGCGCAATCGCATGACTCCCAGGGGACACTGGCCAGATATACTAGTTCAGAACAAATTTGGGGCTTAGCCAGCATCCAAATAGCTTGGCATTATCAAGAAGTGTTCTTGAATTTAACATTATTTTGTTTTGCTCAAAAAGGGAGTTACAGGCTATTTGATAAAGGTTAAGAAAGGGTTACTTTCTTGATTAAAAACCTGCATCAGTTTCTCTGTGTTTCCTGCTGTAAGCCTTTGTATATTTACTCCTGTGCTTTGCCTTTCTCGGTGTTGCAATGTGCTCCACTGTTCCAGATCTGTTTTTGCTCTGAATCTGAATTGAGGATAAACTAGATTTTAAATAAAAAGATTGTTTTTTTCAAGGTAGTGTGTGTTTGTGTGCTAATACACTTGTATATAAAGAGTGGTGTAAGTGCATTCTGTATTTTAGGTGCACAATAAATAATCTCATTACCTTTTGAATTGTACAAACAATGCTCCTTTCCAATCCCAAGACTGATATTTTGTTGGGGGGAAATAATGAATAAAGTAGTCTTGTAAATGAAATACATCCTATGCTCTCCAGATTGCTAGTTGATTGGATTAAAGTGCTATATATTGAAGACTTCAGATTTTTAGGAAGAAAATAGCATGGCCATCCTGCTATAAGAGGTAGATCACATATTTGACCCTATTCTGTTACATATCCTGGAAAATTAGCATGTAAAGAAGCAAGGTAGATTCGATTTAAATCAAATTGATTTAAAACATGATTTAAATTTTAAAAGTGGAGTTTTTGACTATTTAAATAAAAATGGATTTTTTTACAATTTAAATTGTGTTTAAATCAATTTGATTTTTTTCAAAATTGATTTTTATCTACTTTGTAAAGAAGAAAGATTATAGCTCTGTTTTCTTATTGAGGACCATCCAGATTTGAAGTCCTCTGCTAGTGATTTATGATATAGTCCTAGAAGGACTGTGTTGTGTGACTTTACTGAGCGTATATCCTTTTGCTCCACTATGTCTTGGTTACAGCCAGACTCACCAGCATTTTTTAAAAGTTCCTATGTAGCTCAAAACTACTGCAAAAAATCTCGGTGAGTATCTTAGTTTGAATGTATAATTTGAATTTATTTTCTGATGTTTTAGTCCTGTCTCCCAAAGTCCACATGTTGTTAGCATCCTTTCTTTTCATTAGGTTACCTTCTGAAATATCATTTGCTTCTTTCCTGGGATACATTAATTTTGGTGATGTGACTTTTTATATTGAGGTGGATAGCCTTTGAAACTGAGTCTTGAGAAGCTTAACCACAAGATTACAAAAACATGTGGGCTTTGTTTTTGGGATGGCAGTATAAAAATGTATGTCTGTACAAACTGTGGTACTAGGCAATGGATGATGGTGTTTAAAATGATAAAGCCTTGAAGTCTTAGCACTGTGTACGGATTGTGTGTGGGTCATTTGCCCTATCAGTTTAACAACTATCAAGTATTTGATACATCTGGAGTAGCATTTGTGGGAAAATACTGCTAAAAGTCCATTGTACCCTTACAGCAATCTCTGTGGGATGCCACAAATTGAGGGATGAACGTAATTAATGGCTTGTTTGAATGTAGTGATGCTTATGATTAGGGCAGAGAGCCTGTGCCATGTTCTTTATTACTTCCTCTTTTTGGAAAAGGAGGCAAAGAGTAAAATTCTGTTGAAACAGTAGATTGATTTTGTGTATGCTGCTTACTTCAAAAAAGTAGTTATTTTTCTTCTTGTTAATTCTGGAACAGGGTTCTCACATGGTAGTTGCAATAAAAGCAACTAAATTTAAGAAAACTTTGAAAACCCCACTATATCAGATGGTGCTGTCTGATTTCCCTCAACATATGAAGTCGAGTCTTGGAACAGAGCTAGGTCACTACATCTGCTAATAGTGCCTTGCTTGTTTCCTACTGGTCAGTTATACTGGTTAGCCAGTAGAGCAAGCTTTTCTCTCCTGTAATTCTTGAACTTGGCACTTCATGGTTGGAGACATGCCGCCATCACATTTATCCTTCTTGCTGACAGAGGGCATAAAAAGCTGCTACCTGCATGGTGACATCCAGAGTAATAGGGGACAGGTCAGATGACAGGGATACTCCATGGATTACTTTCTGGAAGATGATAAATCAGAACAGCAAGGAGGGCAGGTTCTTTCTGAGATAATCTGGAGCCAGTCCATTTAGGCCTATGGTGTTGCTGGTGTTTTACTTTTAAAGTAAAGGAAGAAGAGGTAGTCTATGATGATAAAACAAAGGATATATCAGCTGATTGTGCAAAAATCAAAGTTGTGCCTTTGTACAGATCTATACTGAGATTCCAGTTTTATTGCTTATTTACCTCCTTAGAAAAAAGATAAATGGATGTTGAAAAGAGTCTAGGATCTCATTTCAGTAGAGTGTGTTTTGACAGTTAAGTGCCATAAGTACTTTCGTTTTGAAACTTTGATCTGATTCAGCATATCAAATATGCTGAAGCAATGTGTGGTTGAGCGGGTAGAGTTTTCAGAATTGTTTTCTTCTTGGAGAGGGGTTGAATAAATGCACGAGGGAACTTACTTGAGTTAGAAGAAATATTTTTCCTTATGAAGCAAAGTTTGCTTTATGTTTTTTTTTTATTAATATATTAAATGTTGTTTTCTTTTTTCATCCTACAGGGTAACCAGGAGCCAACAGCCACTCCTGACACAATGGTTCAGCCATTCACTACAATTCCATTCCCACCTCCCCCACAGAATGGGATCCCCACAGAGTATGGGGTACCCCACTCTCAGGACTATGCAGGCCAGACCAGCGAGCACAATCTGACAATCTACGGGAGTACACAGGCACATGGAGAACAGAATGCAAATACAGCCACCACACAAAATGGATCTCTTACGGTATGCATAACAAGGCATGAAGCTGAGTGCAGTTCAGTGTTGCTTATTTCAGATTTGATTGTCTAATATCTGGTATTTGTCTTTTTCAAAGGACATAGGTCTTGTGGCAGAAAGTGGATATGCAGTCTGGGAGCAGTATCTTTTGCATGCCTAACATTTTTAATTTCTTCCTATTTCCTTGACAACACTGCGATTGAAAGAGCAAATTCTACTCAGTGCAACAATAACTGAGACCGGCAGTCTTAACTGGTCTGAGTTTCTTAGTGATCTGAAAAACTGGTCTTAAGAGGATGTAATCCATAGATGTTGAAAAATTAATTCACTTTGTTTTATTTGTAACTGTTTTATCTGTCCTCTAGACCCTTTTATAACCAGATGGACCATGGAACCGTCCCATACTCTGTGGGCACCCTGTGGTTCAATTTCCCCTGCAACCCTCACCCCATCCTTTGTACAAGAATAAGTACAGATGTGAATTACACCAAGTAGGGTACTAGATGTTTAGAAGGTATTTGTACAACTAAGGTGTCTTGATATGATTGGATCCTAATATCCAGCCATCTAAAATACACTCCTCACGCATGGCTCTGTCAAGACCCTAACTGCATTTTATCTAATGCATCATGCCATAACCTGTCTACTGGCCTGGCTTGCTTCTAGTGTGTGACAGAAAAGGAAGAGTGAGGAGCAGGAGGGCTCGGCCCATATGACGGGTGATAGGGAGGTCAGTAGATGTCTGCATACTGAAAAGTATTATTATGTGTGGAAGGCAGCCTACAGACCTATTTTTGCAATTCATCTGGCTCCAGCATGATTCTGAAAGAATTTGGTGACTAGTTCTATCCATTATGAAAGGCTTTGTCTTTTCCTAACCAGTCTATTTTTGGTGGACATTTCTAGATTCCCAAAGAGTTGGATTTATAGGCATTTTACTGTGTGTCTTACTACTACCTTTACATCTTGCCTTTCCTGGAAGAACCTAAAGGCATCATGCATGGTTACTTTCCTTCCTTTTTCTTTTTACCACAGTCCTTTATGGTGGACTGAGTGAATGAGTCCTGTATGGATGAGTCTGAGAAAGAGTGCCTTTCCCAGGTAACCTGGAAGACTTCATGGCAGAGTGAGGATTTGAAAGCCAATCTCCTTAGTCCTTGACCAACACATTGACCAGTGTTTTAGGACATATTACAGTGATGGTTTAATTAAAGATGAAACTGAGAAATAACAGAATAAAGAAAACTCTTTCACTGCCAATAACTTACTCATTCATTATCTGTACCTTTTTTAAAAATTGGAATTGTTCTGGAGTCTTGGGCTGGGCAACAGGATTTAAGATTATCCAAACTTGTTAACTTCCTAATAAAGAGTGTTAGGGTGGGAACTTTGGGTGTATATGATGGATATAATCTTTTATGGGGCTGGTAAAATGAGTTAACCAGTTGAAGTGTTTTGTGCAGAATTATGTTGTAAACCACCCAGAGAGTGCCTACCATTATGGGGTGGTATATTAAGTCGAAACAACAACAACAGCAATACTTTCCGTTTTCTTGTAGCATGCCTAACTGACAACAGTCTTTATCATCCTGATAAATCCTCCAGGAGTGCAGTTGCCTTATTTAGTTAATGTTGCTTGAAGTGCCAGTTCAGGTGTATAGGGTGCGTGGCATGAGGTAATAATTGTCTGGAGTGGGCAGATCAAGAGTATAAAACAAGGGTATGATCTTACCCAAAAGGCTGTGATGAGCAATCGGCATCATAATGATTCAGGATCTTAAAATATTGCTAATATTTATTTAGCCACTAAACAAAGTCATATAACTCATATAGTAAATCTAATGCATCGGTCCAGATTTGGAAGCCAAATTCAGATACACTGTGCAGGGCAAGGAATTCTTGGTAGCCGTAACAAGTCTTCCATAATTAGATGAAGAGCAGCACTCTCCACTCCTAAGCTAAGAAGTACAATACTGCATTAGAAATGTATGAGGTCTGCATATGATAGTGAAAGAAGTGAATACTGGACATGAAACTGGATCACTTCTGTGGCAGTGTTGAATTGCCTTCATGTGTTTATGTTAGTTTCATCTTTGTCCAGACTTGTTTTCTTTAATAAAACGTAGGAGGAGATGAATAATGTGAGCCTTGACCGTAGTCACCAGCTGCTGCCAAGCTTCCTGCTCCTCTTCCATATTAGGAGCCATCCTCAGTATAATGCAGAAGAAAGTGCTGCATGTCATCAGCTAATAGAACTGTGAAGAGAAAGGATGAGAGTGAGAATTAGAACTTGCCCATGTCAGCTGTTAGGCTGAGATAGACTTAGATGGTTACCTAAGGGAAAAATGTCAGTCCTGTTTGTGTTTTGGTAGAATAATAGAGTGAATTCTTTGAAAGCCCACAAGGACAAGGAAGAATCTTGACTTGGAGTTACAAGGAGAGGTATTCCAGCATGGGTCAGGATAAGTCTTTTCTGAAAAGTAGAACAGACATCTCCAAGGATGCGAATTCATTTGCAAAATTCCTCATCCACATCACTGTTGTTTACAGAGCCAGGCTGCTTTCATATTCTTTCACGTTTCCTTTTCACTACCTCTAGATATTGGTAAAGAATTAAAGGGCACTTGTATGCATGACCTCAAGGCAGTGTAAATCATTTTATCTCTCTTGAACTTTTTTTAAATGAAAAGGTGAAGTTTGTTGTTCACAGTTAGCCTGCATTATGTCCTCTTCATTTTGCATACGTTTTGATCAGAGGAAGGAGATCTCACAGAGACTGAAAGTTCCAAAGAGGGCTCAGCTGAAAACAGTAGGATTTCATAATGCACTTTTCATACATTTTGGGCAGGCTTGATTGTTTCTTCTCCTGCAGTAGAGAGTTGTCTAATGCAATATGTTTAAACTGTGGCGTGCAGGATAATTGAATGATATTTATGTCAGGTTGTATGTGTCCTCTCAGTATGACCTTAAAGGATTATTGAATTGTTTGTCATGATTTAATCTAGGAACTTGCCAGAAGACAGTGTTTCCTATGGTTTAAATCCAGTAGTTAAAAACAAGGTATGGAGAAAGGCTGCTGCAAGAAAGATGTATGACCTGGAAGACAGGTTCTGTGCAAATATTTAATTCATACATTCACTCATACAGTTTGGGACATTGCATGGAGATTGGCACAGTTTTGGTATGTCCTGTGAGTGTTACATCTGGTATTGGGAAGACCTTCTGGAAAATACACAACTGTTTGGTTCTATGTTAAAAAAATTTATATGTAAATCTAGGCTTAAACTACTAGAACCAGAGCAGCTTTTAGTGTAGCTTCCTTAGTTTATACTTTCATTTCTCATTGCGAGATTGAGTTTGCTGCCTCTTCAGCACTCTTTTCTTTAGAACTGGTCTCCCAGTGCCATATTATGCTGAGCTTTCAATTTCTGTGTGAATTCCTATAAGAAGGTGTAGAAATTTATCACTTTGGTAAAATATTGGATTACCACATCACAAATTCCTTTGTGATGTTTATTAATTCATTATGCATTTTATTTGTATGTTGCCTTTCTCCCCATAGGCAGCTCTCATTCAATTAAAATACAGTAGAATCCCCATATCTGTGGGATCAGTATATGCAGTTTCACTTATCTGCAGTTTGCCCCTGCCCTATATACAATATAAAAGGGAAACCCTCTTGTTTTTGTCCTGCCTCCTCTTATGTTGTATATAGTTCCCATATATCCACCGTTTCAGGCATCTATGGTAGATTGGGGAACTGATCCCTGTGGATACAGAGGTTCTGTTGTAACATAATAATGAATACAATTAAAATACAGTTAAAATATTAAAATTCCTGATAATATTTTTGTCCTATGTCACAATAATTGTACTGGAACTTTCATTGTTTTGAAGACAGTCCCTCTGTAGTTGAATATATGCAGAGTCTTGGGAGTGAGCTTTAAAAATTCCTGAGACCTTTTCAGAAGAGGTTAATAGCAAGTGAATCAGGTTCTGCTGCTCGATCTCTTGATAATATGCAGATGAAAAGCAAGTACTGTATTTTGATTGCTAATAGTTTAACTATAGTGACATCAAAAAGATCCACTCCAAAAGTTAATAGTCCAATAGAACTTTTTCAGTCCACAGAATCTATCAACATACTAACAAGAATATGGCACCAAATATGAGCAACAAAATAATGGCCTCCAGACTAGAAATTTTCGATGTTCATCTGCATCTCTAAGAAAAGAGTACAGTTACTATATTGTATTAATTTCCCATGCAAGCAAAGTGATGAAGGAATTGTAGCAAAAGCTTTTACTATACAATGGTGCCTCGCTTAACGATTTTAATTGGTTTAAAAAAAACCTCGCTATGGGAAAACATCGCTAAGCGGTTTCCCATTGAAATGCATTGAAAACCGGATATTCCGTTCCAATAGGAACGAATTGCCACCCTTAAGTGAAAATCGCCATAGGAAACATCGCTAAGCGAAACACGGTTCCCCAATTGAAAAGCATTGAAACCTATTCAAAGCATCTCAATGGGGGAAAAATTCAACAACAAATTAAAAAAGAGTCGGAACAAAGGCAAATTAGTTTAACAAAAGGTTTATTAAGTGCACTTATGATTTCAAGCATGCTAAACATTTTTAAACATTTTTAAACATTTAAAAAACAGCCAACATGAGGCTGTCAAAACCATCGTTAAGTGAAACAGGGGGACCCAAACTGTCATCACTATGCTAAGCATGGTCCCAAACATCACTATGCAAAAATCGCCCATAGGGAACATTGTTAAACGGAGCGCAAGATTGCTCCGAAGAAGTCATCGCTAAGCGGATTCGTCATTAAACGAAGCGCTCGTTAAGCGAGGCACCACTGTATATGGAACAAGGAATGCCGTTGTTTAAGTGCGTTCTGAAAAGTAGGTACAGTACTAGAGATCATATTGCCAATAGATGTTGGCTACCAGAGCATACCAAAGAATTTCAAAAGATCAGTCTATGCTTTAGAGAGTTG